TGGAACAAAAATTTTAAGTGCAGATTGACGCCACTTAAAAACCGCCAAATCTGTAGCTGCGGTTGGTGCGTGTGCTCTTTATTGGCGCAACTGTCGCCAAGGTACCGTTAATACGTAAGTACCGAATATTCCTCCATGTTGGGGGAGGTACATGTTCTGCTTCCAGTATCTGGTTTTACTTTCGGAGTTTTCTCCACTTTTACCTTCACCGTTTACATCTCGAATTTTGCTAGTCAATTCCTCCAGCACAGGACCTTGATATTCTTGGATTTACCTCTGCTGTTGGGGTAGTTATCAAAGGATATCATTGTTCAATTCTTAACGGACCTGCAAATATTGCGCTGGCACTCCTTATCCTTTTGACACGCCTTTGTTAGGTCTAATCTACATTCTTTTGTTTGCGAACTTGCCTGCTTAATGATTTATCCGTACTTACTGCGGAGTACTTTCTTTTCCCACATCGTTTATACGTTGTTTTGCTTATACTTTTGGATTGGGTTATCATCCTGTAGATATTGTATTATATATTATCTTATTTATTCTTTATTTTCATATTATTACTTTTATTTTACCTTACTTCTCTCTGGGATTTGATTATGGTACCAGACATTATTTATCAGGGGTTCATGCTTTAACAGTATCTTCCGTTAAATTAGTTAGATTTAACATTACTACTGGTACAATACCTTTGCATATTCTAATTACACTGGTGGACAAAATTAAGAGATGGAAGACATTTTCCCAAATATCTAAAAAAATACTCAATATAAATTAATGAAATTTGGTATGGATATAGCTTATTCCATGATAATAAAGTATGCAAAACAAAAATGAAAGTGCCATTCACTGACATGGCCTATTGCCAATAAATCCAATGTAGTCCGAACTTAAGGATAAAAGATGACAAAAGTGAGGCTCTAGTATGGTGTTAACTCCAGAATGGTTCTGGGGGGAGGTTGGAGCAGAGGTTGTATTTCAGATGCTCATTTAACCTGACCTATATCTCCATGTATTTAATTTTTATTGTTTTTAACTTTGTCGCGGTAGTATCATTTCTTCATGTACCATTTATTTAATCCAGATTTTCCTTTCCCTTTGATGAGAAATAGTGTGGGGAGGGACACTCACTGGGGTAGTTATTGTTCTTTTGATGTACATCACCCTCGCGTCTCCAGTGCTTCATTTGTGTTTTTTATGAACATTCAATTAACATTATCATGGCCAATAAATGATACTATCAATAAAGACTCAGTCCTTTAGTTTCGAAATCAATTCTGATTTAAAAAAGAAAAAAAAGGTAATCAATTTAAGAAATTTTTTAAAACGAATCTCAAAGATTTCTAAATTTCAAAAAGTTTTAAATGACTTTTATTGTAGTCGTTTGCAATTATATTAATTTTTTTTTTCATTGTAAATATGAACTAATATTATATTCCATTTCTTGCAGGCTTTTTTGGTGTTCTGAAGTTCTGTTGCAGAAGGTTACTGGAAACGTGGAAAATAAGACTTTTGATGAAATTACAAATCTGAACTGTTGGTTCACAATTTGCTGTGAATCATATATTTCATTAAATTCTGTTGAATAAGGTTATTATTCTAACGCAGAAAACAAGACTTCTGAGGAAAAGGTCAAGAGAAATAGCTCATAGAAAATTCAATATCTGAACTGTTGTTGTTGTGAATTCTATTAAGAACTTATATAAATTATATATTTTTAATAGTATTAAGGTAATTCGCGTACAGTCTTTAGTAAATAGAAAAAAAAAAAAAAAAAAAAAATTAGCAATTTTACGAAATAAAAAATTTACATTTTATCTGAAATAAAATTCGTGATGGAGAGTAAGTTCGAAATGTTGCCTGTTATGCATAGTTTAAAGCACTTATCACTTGTCAGAGTGGTGCTGACATTAATCAACAATGATGCCGTAAGAGGCGTATTTAACTCTTGCAACTTCTCTGATGAAGAGGGCAAAAGGAACAAAATAGTGTTGACATCCCAAAAAGTAGTGTCCGAACTGCACATCCCATATACACTTAAGGAAGACTTAGTAAATTACATCGGATACCTTTTGGCTGAGTTCAAGGAGTGGGTCCTTTCATATATCTTTTATTTCGACAAGCAGCCAAAGGTGCAATTTACCAACATGTGCTGGAAGTCGATTGGAAGAATAGATGTACAGAAAAGAACGCGCGCCATTTTGGAGGACGAAAGTGTGGCCATCGAACAACGATTTAGATTGGCTTGCGTGTCTCGCTTGAGAGACGACATTTGTTCTTTGTGGAACGAGATGTCTGAAAAACAGAGAAATAAGGAATCGCAGTTTCCTGTCACACAGTGGGTTCCATTGCAATTCTGCGACAAAGCGGATGCCTTGAACCTTTGGGAGAATCCTATTCTTCAGGATCTGCTCAGCGGCGAAGACTTTTGGAGCTCGACAACTGTGCACAGACTTCTTCAACTCGTCAGCCCTGAGGAAAGGCGAGCAGGTTTCTTGCTATTTCTCACTTCTGACGAAGGTGGCGAACTCCACGACATGGACCTCTTCCACGCACTCGACGAGGAAGGACAGTGGGAGGTCACGGAATATTTTTATCTCATAGTGCTGTCGTTTTACTTTCACTGGTCATTGCGAAATCCGCTTATGAATCCTAAGGACAAATTATTTGCATCCTTTGGAGTATGTGAGCTTACATTTCTCGCGAGGTATGTACTTTGTAGAATTGGTACAACGTATATGGACGAAAATTAGGTGAATCTTTTCGAAGAATTTTGGCACGAAATCCCAGAACATTCAAAAGAATCTCGCAGAAGGCGCTGGAAAGGCGAAGAAGTATTTGAATTCATATGTGCTGAATTTAATCAATAATATCTAATACTTTAGGTGTATAATCTGTTTTTTTCTTCTTTAAATAAAGCAAGGCAGATTCATTAGCAGTTATTGTAGTATATCTTCCTTATTTTTTTTTTTTTTTTTCCTAAGGTGCTGCAGTTTTATTTTTACTGGTCAACGCGAAATGAATTTATGAGTCTTTAGGACAAATTATTTTCAATCTTTAATAAAAATGAAATAAAGTTGATACTTAAATGTAAGAATAAAATGAATTAAAATTAACCTTAAATGAAAAGAATAAAATTAGTAAAAATTAAATAATATAAATACTCAAAATCAAGAATAAAATGAATGAAAATGAAATAAAATTAATCCTTAAATTCAAGAATAAAATTAATGAAAATGAAATAAAATTAATCCTTAAATTCAAGAAAAAAGATTAATAAAAATAAAATTAAATTAAGCTTAAATGCAAGAATAAAATTTATAAAAATGAAATAAAATTAACCCTAAATGCAAGAATAAAATTAATCTCTAAAGGGAAAAAATTAATAAAAATAAAATACAATTAATCCTCAAATGCAAGAATAAAATTAATAAAAATGAAATAAAATTAATCCTCAAATGCAAGAATAAAATTAATAAAAATGAAATAAAATTAATCCTTAAATGTAAGAATAAAATTAATAAAAATGAAATAAAATTAATACTTAAATGTAAGTGTAAAATGAATAAAAATGAAATAAAATTAACCTTAAATGCAAGTATAAAATGAATAAAAATGAAATATTAACCTTAAAAGCAAAAAAATTATAATAAAACTAACTAAAATTAATCCTTAAAATCAAAACAAAAAAATTAATAAAAATAAAATTAAATTAAACTTAATTGCAAGAATAAAATTTATAAAAATGAAATAAAATTAACCCTAAATGCAAGAATAAAATTAATATCTAAAGGGGAAAAAATTAATAAAAATAAAATACAATTAATCCTCAAATGCAGGAGTAAAATTAATAAAAATGAAATAAAATTAATCCTTAAATGAAAAAAAATAAATTAATCAAAAAAAATAAATTAATCTTTTAACGAAAAGAATAAAATTAATCAAAATGAAATAAAATTAATCCTTAAATGAAAAATAAAATTAATAAAAATAAAATAAAATTAATCCTTAAATAAAAATAATAAGATTAATAAAAATAAAATAAAATTAATCCTAAAATAAAAAGAATAAAATTAATAAAAATAAAATAAAATTAATCCTTAAATAAAAAGAATAAAATTAATAAAAATAAAATAAAATTAATCCTTAAATAAAATTAATAAAAATAAAATGAAATTAATCCTTAAATAAAAAGAATAAAAATAAAATTAAATGAATCCTTAAATAAAAATAATAAAATTAATAAAAATTAAATTAAATTAATCCTTTTAAATGTTGTAAATTATTTTCGTTCACCCTTCTTTGAGAAAATAGGAAATTTTCGATGCACTACGCGTACTAAGGAAAAAAATTTCATTCGTAGCCATGGCAACCTAAATCAGGCAGGTTACGTATTTCAAAAAGCGAAAGGCTTTATCAAAAAAGAAGTACCTCGACTTTTTGAAACAGAGAAAGGAAAAAATGCGCATGTTTTTTTAAATGTTTAGTGATCTTTTATTTTATTGTCGTGATTGATCTTTCAAAATAAAGTTTTTAAAAAAAAGTGTCATAATAAACATGAAAGAAAAATCAGAATACTAGCTCATCTATACAATGTAAATGTAGTGATCAAGAGAAAGTAATGATATTTTAACAAGAAAACAAAGTGTAAGTCTCTTCAATAAGTGGGTGTTTGTATAACTGTTATTAAAATTAATTATTACAAACAATAATTTTGTTTATTGTATTCTTCTGTTGTTGTTGTTTCTTATCCCACTTGGCTTGCCAATCCCACCAGCCCAAACGTACTCATGATTGAAGGGGAAGGAAGCAGCTTCTGTTGTGATGGAGCACACGTAGGTAGAAGTCTGACTTTGGCTCCGTGACACCCTTACAGTCATAGGAGACCGGGACCTACGGCTTAAAGTGGATTCCGAAACACTACTAACATCCATGGCACCGCCGGGATTCCAACCCAAAACGTGTGACACAGAGCGCTTGACACTCGGCCATTTAAAAAGCACTGCGTCGGCCAGGAGTCGAACCTGGGTCAACTGCTTGGAATGCAGCTATGCTAACCGTTGTACCACCGACACTTCGGAAAAATGGAATTGAACCCGGGCCTCCTGGGTGAGAGCCAGGTATCCTAGCCACTAGACCATGTTAATAGAATGTAATTTATTGACTACTAGTACGTAAAATAAAAAATGGCGGTGCCATGGATGTTTGTAGTGGTTCGGAATCCACTTTAAGCCGTAGGTCCCGGTCTCCTATGACTGTAAGAGCGTCACGGAGCCAAAGTCAGACTTCTACCTACGTGTGCTCCATCACAACAGAAGCTGCTTCCTTCCTCTTCAATCATGAGCACGTATGGGCTCGTGGGATTGGCAAGCCAAGTGGGATAAGAAACAACAATAACAAAATAAAAAAGTTTTGTGGTATACTTAGTTTTTAATTAATAGAGCCCAGATGCATACATGTTAATCTTACATATTAAAATAGAAAATGAAGGCAAATAGTAAGAGATCATCTTTGTATATGCATTCAATTTACAACGGAGGGGAATTACATTCTAACAGACAACTGAGCTATGTTTTCGGTACGATTTCGATAGAGGCTTCTGGGGAGAGGAACTGTGCACCATGAAACAACAATGAAACCACCAGGTGGCGGTTCTTAGGAACAATTCCTCCTCCTAGATGTCCGTGATTTCGATAGTGAATCCATTACGGGTTTTTTCCCACCCCCTTTCCTCACCCCTTGACAGTTTCAAGTAGGGTGTAACCCCCACCTCCACTCTCTCCGGAAAGAGAGAGGAACGGATGAAAGCAAAGTTCTAAGAAAGCAAAGAAAAGTAGAAAAAAAAAAAATAAATAAATAAATTAATAGTTTAAAAAAACTAAAAAAACACGCTTTTAGAGTTAATCAAACTAAAAAGTAAAAAATAATTGTTAACATAAGAATAAAATGACTGACCAGAAAATGAATGTCACTGTTCTAAAAGCGTGGGGTGCTCGATATCCATCGTTCTAATTTTTCACTAGTTTCATTCCGAAATGCAGAGTTTAAAAATGTCATGCAAAGCACCCCACTCTTTTAGAACAGTGACATTCATTTTCTCGTCAGTCAGTTTATTCTTGTGTTAACAATTATTTTTTACTTTTTAGTTTGATTAACTCTAAAAGCGTCTTTTTTTAAACTATTAATTAATATTTTACTTTTTAGTTTGATTAACTCTAAAAGCGTGTTTTTTTTGGGGTTTTTTTAAATTATAATTTAGGAAAAACATCTTCTGCTTGAGAGCAATTAAAGCAGGAGATCGAAAAAGCTAAAGCTATCGGTACAATTAGGTGTCCGTTGACGATGTCCAAAAATAAAAAGGTTAAATTTAAAATGAGAATTTTAAGATAAAAGTAAAATAAAACAAAAGGAATTAAGATTAAACAAAATAATTATACAAAATAGGTAGGGTTTGATCAGTTGAATGACTCGCCAGTAGATGGCGCCATCAGTTCCAAAATCGAGCCCACAGAGTCAGTTACATACAAACGTATACATACATACAAACATGCAGGTGAAGCTAATAAAAGCGTATTAAAAACCGATGAACTAATAAAGACACAAGATGGTTGAAAGACGCTATATTCAAAATGGCTCAAGATAAATTGATTAAAATACGTTTTCTTAACATCTAGCAGTTACCGAAATTAAATATAGTTTAAAAATAAATAAAATCTTCCTTTATTAAATGTTAAAGGATAGAAAATGACACGACTACTGCGATAATGCAATTTCAAGTGTCAATTGAAATAATTAATTATTTAAATAAATAAACAGAGAGATTATTAACAACAGGAACCAAATTATTTAATTAATTTAACAGAAAGTAATTAAATAAAACAAAAGAGTTATAAACATATACAATTAAGTAAGGACAAAAATAAATAACTATACTATAACTAAAAATGTGTCTTCCTAACATGTAGGAGATAACGTTAATAAGGGTATTTTAGAAATAAATAGCTTTGTTTAGTAAATACTAAGGAATAGAAAATGACGGACAAACAAAGGTGAGAATGGAATTTTAAATATATATATATTTTTTTTCTAATGCAGCTGGCACTTAGACATGGACGTCTTGAATTCCTTAAGGCAAGCGTTGCACAGACGTTACTCACGTTTCATTACCCAGGGGGCGCGTGTAACTTGAAGATAAGCCACGGACGCGGAGTAACAATGCCTCCGCAACGTTCTACGATCCTATTAGGACCGGGCCCTACGGATTAAAGGGGATTGCGAACCACTACAAACATCCATGGCACCGCGGGGACTCGAACCCGAAACCTGTGGTATCGAGCGCCAGAGCGCTAGCCACTCGGCCATTCAGGCCCGGAATTTTAAGTATAAATTTAATCAATTAAATGAATTATGTTAGTACTTCAGAAGGTCCTTTTAAATCATATCTAAACATAATCGAACTTGGTCCGTATCGAAAATGCCTCCTGTTCATTTCCATGAAAAGCTACAGCTCGATTGTGATGGCACCATGGATTATTACTGGAGGAGATCAAAATCCGTATGCTATAGCACCTCAAGAGTTTGGCACGATGAGCAAATAATTATGGGCCAAGTGTATTGTAGTGAAAAGAGCAATATCAACACATAACTGTTGCTCATGTGTATGAATATTAAGTAAAAATTGCGATCCAGTCATATTTTACTATTAACTTAAGTTCTCATCTACAGCTTTCAATTACAGTGCTAGTTTATTAATGCAATGAACTTGCACAATTTTTATATATTTTTTTTTCGTGCCCTAGCCTTCATAACAGAGCAACATACATTTTGTTGTTTGTTTTTAAATTCTGTATATATAAAAACATATTTATTATCTTAAAACTTTTGAGTTGTTCTAGTCTTATCTCAATTGATAAAACAACACTTCTATGTTATTAAATTCCTATATAAATGCATTAAATTAATAAATGAAAAAAAAAAAAACGCATTAATTATTATATATTTTTTTTAAAAAGTGGATCATATTTTAGATCCCAATTTTGCCAAACTGGCGATGATTCACAAAATGCAGTGCGATGTTTATAAATGATTTAGAAGAATATGGCAACCTTATTTATAATTACATGTGCCATTTTCTTCGTGGTTGATAAGCAATAAAAATGGAAAGCGAATGAAATATTTTGTAATTAAAAAAATAAATGTCAAATAATTTTTAATTTGTAATTAACGATTACAAAAATTTATGATTGAATGTTGTATAAAAGTGCTAACAACTTTAATAAAGTTCGCGCTTCTTACTCGTAAAGTATAAATGAGCATGTTCATGTTCAACTTATACTTCACAGTGACGATATAAAAGAATAAGCACGCCGATTTACTATAAATGAATTACTCAATGGCATTGATATCCTCCTTTCTGAATCAGCACGCAGCTGCTCCAATGATTTGCTCTTCTTTCCATTGGTTTCCTTTGTTTACTACAAAGGCCTCACTCTGCAACTCCCCCCTCCCTGCTGCTCCTTGAATAATCGAAACGTTTTCGTTTCCCCCCAGGCTCTGCTCTTCCATCGCTCACTTGTAACTGACCTTGTGGCAGCTGGCGTACCGATTACGGAGTACCAACAGGGAGAAATACCCCTTAAACCTCCTCATCTTAATTCATAGATATGCTTATAATCATAGTTGGCTGCTTGATTAATGTTAGTAAAATTAAAGATAAAGTTTCAAAAATTCAGTTAAAGTGGTACTCAAAAAAAAAATTAAAAATATTAAAAATAAATAAAAGTAAGATGCAAAAAAAAAAAAAGAATTGAAAGTTAAGTTTAAATTAGGTACATTTAGGGACCAGTTAACTATTGTAAAAAGTAAACAACGGTGGGAAACTGACCTTGTACGATTCGCAGATTTTCCCCGTCATTACCATTTCATTCTCTCTTAACAAACTACTCTGAAACGTTTTTGTAATTTTGAACTTGTACTCCTTTTTTGAATTAGATTAACCTATTGAAAGTATTTTTATTTTTATTATTTAAGTTCTCTTTCAAACTACGTTCAGTTTGTAATTCTTCAAAATCCTCTTTTTGCTTTATTAATTTAATTATTAAATCATAATTAATAATTATTAAATACTTTATTGAAAGAAAAAAAAACTTCTCTTCTGCATATATTATTTATCTCTCTATTAATTGTTTATTTCTAATGCTTCTTTATTTATAATTTTTAAAATATTATTATATATATTTAAAAAAAATAAAATTAAGATCGTATTTTGGATTCCCAATTTTGCCAAACTGGCGATGATTCAGAAAATGTAGTGCGATGTTTATAAGCAATTCAGAAGAATATGGCAACCTCGTTTATTATTACATGTGCCGTTTTCTTCGTGGTCGATAAGCAATAAAAATGGAAAGCGAATGAAATATTTTTTAATTAAAAATAAATATCAAATTACTTTTAATTTTTACTTTTCTTTTTTGCTTAAAGCTAAAGTAACTTCCATTTTCTTATGCAAAGAAGGAGCTAACGGTTACCTAGCAACCAAGGATCTCCATCAAACTACAAATCGTCGTTACTGTACGTGAAGAGATGAAAGAATTCATTTCACATTTGAAGTAGCCAAATCTAAAATGATTCTTCTTCTTCAATGGCACAAAAGCCTCATGATAGGTCAAGGCCGTCTAAAGTGATAGTGATTATGTAAAAAAAAATTTAATCCAAGGAGAAGCAGTAATTGTTAAATTTTATTCGTTTGCCTTTATTTATAGAATTATATTATCTTCGCTCTCTTATTGTAGATTAACACGGAGATCCTTGGCTACTAGCTCCTTCACTGTAATAACAAAAAAAAACATAGCGGTGGTCTCATGCCCTTTGAGTTAATAAGAAGAATAGATAATTTAATGCCCTTTTTTTTAAAAAAAAAAAAGATTTATTTATTTAATAAAATTAAAAAATGAAAAATAACAAACATTTCAAAAGTATAGATGTTGATGAAATCAGTTGCATGTAAAAAAAAAAAAATAAATAAATAATAATAATAACAGAAGCGAACTTTTTTCATCTAGGCAGTTGTAAGGAA